GACTTAAAACCAATGCGCTTTATGGGAGGCAACCCATACGTTTTGCTTTTGTATGGCTGACAATGTTCTACTCTAATTTTTGCAGGATCGGACAATGAAATTGCCACCCCAACAGATTTCAAAAGGTGTAACAGAGAGGGCCTCAAATGCCGCCGGCAAGGAGGAAGGCTGCTGCCCGCAAAAACGCATCCAACACAAGGAGAAGGATATCATCCTCCTCATCCTCGCCCTCTCCTGAACGGCAAAGAACGCCCACTCCACCAGCATCCCCTGCCAGAGAACCCACCCCACCACCACCTCCACAACCACCAAGGGCGCTGCAAGAACAAGCCCTTAATGCCATCACAGATGAATGGGAACGCAGGTTATTTCCAAGGAAGAAGGGTTGGGATTTCTTTTTAAAACACATAAGGCGAAAATTCATCCCAGAAAGGGGAATCGGTGAAGATGGCGCAGCTTTTGCCTACATCAAGCGCCACGGCTGGGAGACCTTCTCCAAACCACCTATCAAGCCACGGATCCAGATTGTGCAAGAATTTTACGGCAACTTCCACACTGCTCCCAGAGATGGAGTGTTCGTCAGAGGCATCAGCGTCAATTGCAGCACAGAGGCCATCAGAGCCATCTGGAAATTACCAAGAATAAGCACAGATTACAGAGAAACCTGGCTGCCCTGCATCCAAATCAACCGCTGGAACAGGCCATTCTGTCCAGATTGGCAAAGGAGGGCACAAGCTGGGAGATGGATGAGCAAGAAAACCCTTTGGGATTTCCAGCCAACGCGTTGCAAACGCCTGAATTACATCTGTGGCACCATTTCATCTGCTGCAATCTGATGCCAACATCCTACACTGCTAAGGTCACCTACGAGATGGCTCTACTGCTATATGCCATTCCCACAGACACACCATTTGATGCAGCCTCAGTCATCCGGGAGCAACTCACCCGATGCATCATTGATCCAAAGGTGAAGAGCTGGTATTTCCCAGTTATAGTCACCATGCTATGCAAAAGGGCAGGGGTGACCTTCCTGCACACCGACGCAGAAAGCAACTTGCAGCAACCATTGAGGATGCATAAGCTGGACCAGAAACCCCCAGGTGCCGCATGGGCGGGACAAACAACATCCACTCCCACTTCCACTGGACAATTGAAGCAGAGGGATTTCAACAAGCAGAGCAGGTTCATCCTGGATTACGTCCACCAATGCCAGATGAGGACGGAGAAATTCCTGCAGGAAATGCACAAGTGCATTGGATGCCCTGAAAACTGCCCAATGCCGCATGATCCGCCAGTCCACCCACTTCACGGAATGCCTCAATGAACACTCAGGGAAGTGCTGTTCTGCTTCCCTTAATCAGCAATTTATTTGTTGCCTATTTAATGTTTCATGTGTTGTTTTCTGTATTTTTTGTTTTCTGTCTATTGTTGTTGCCGGGTTGGTGTTGTTAAGCATTGGGGACAATGCTTAGGATAAGTTTGGGGGAGTTGTAGTTAGTTTTTGGTTAGGCCGGTCAATGTCAGGACAATGCCATTTAGGTCCATTAGGTTCATGTCTGGATTGACTCTGTAATGAAAATCTTCTAAGGAGCTGTCAACAGTCTAGGATGATAATGATTTTGAAAAACAATTTTGCTAAACCACTTTTTGATACCATGTCTGATGCATGAAGAAAAATGGCTGACACTCACTCACACACATGAACAATGCCACTCGTGGAAGTGAATGCCTAGAACATAAATCTTAAAATTTGGCATGACTAATCCACTGTTGTGAGCTATGTCTAGTCCTGAGCTACAATTAGATGAGAAATGCCGTAAATCTGAGACTTCCTTTGTGGTACCCATTCACAGCCTGCTTGCTTGTTAAAAAAAAAAAAAAAAAATCTTAGGGAATGGATCAACCGAAACCTTAGGGGTAACAGCAAGGAACCACCACAAAAAGTCCCAAACTGTTGGAGTAATAAGGGTTGAGGTATAAGGCAGTGGAGAGATAAGGTTGAATAACACCCCTGTAGGTTGGTCCATTTACATCCCATATAAAAAAAAAAAAAAGAGAGAGATTTCCTAAATAAATAAAGCATAAAGGCTGTGCAGGAACTCCAGGATTGAAGTCTCAGTAGGTAAATCGAGTCAAGTAACTCGGGCAAGACCAGATCACAAGAATGACCACCAAAAGTTTAACCGGTTAACTTAGAATGGATTGGTAGGTTTGGCATGAACAAATACTTGGGGCATGTGCATTCTAATTCCCTGTGAAGGTTGGTTGTTTGACTCTGGATTGCAGAAAGATTTGGTATCCTCAACTGTATGTTTTCTTCACTTGAATCTGATCCGGAAAGTTGACAGCACCTATCTAGTTGTGTTTAAGGTTGTTGCTTGTTTAATGTCACTTACCTGAGTGGGAACCCTCACTCCGGGGAGTAAGTCAATCGTCAGTCATTTTGTCTCCCCTATTTGTTACGTGCAATTCTGAAAGTACCGACAAAAGTTTAGTGTTTTGCTTGAGGACAAGCAATTCTTCCAGTTTGGGGGAGTTGATAATGGTTAAATTGTTACATAAAAGCATCACACTTAACTTTATATTTGATGAACAATTGGGGGTATTTCCTAACATTGATGCAAATTACTTAGCTCATTTTCATGTTATTGTTAGGAAAGGACCAGACTGAATAATTGCTGAAAATTGGAAGCCAAATGAGCAAATTATGGGCTGCTGAGGCAAGATTGCTGAGCTGGACGAAAGAGAAGGCTCTTAGACAAGAAGCATCTTGTCATTAATAACCTTGCTCCCTCCTAGAGCATGCTGTCCCCCAGCTGCAATCCCAGCCACCACTGCTGATCAATGAGAGCAAAGCGGCTACTGCTGGAAGAAAGAAAAGGAACGGCCAAGTTGGATTGCAGGCTCAAGACATTGGAAGGATTAAACAACTCCAAGCATGGGGAGGTCCTCATGATGAAGACACCGGTTGCAAAGTACTATAAAGAAGGGGAATGGCACTCTCAGACGGATATATCTCTATCAGTCTCTAGTTAGCTTCTTAGTTGCAAAAACATTCAGAAAAACTCCAGGTAGGAGACAAGAAAGAAGAAGAAGCAGCAACAACTCAGTGAGGAAGCTAAGTTGAAGAATAGCAACCCAGTTTCTTCTTCAGTTCCACGAGTGGACCCTTCCACTCCCAAGAGTGACTCAGAAACTACACAAGCTTTCTTCTCATCTCTTGACTGTTAGCTTGAACTTTATTTATTACACATACTTCTATGATGTCCTTTGATGTAGTAGATGTAGCATTTATTCGTATGAGTAGCTAAACAGTTTCCAGGGGTTATTCTCCTCAACTGATGTTGTAGTTGTCAAAGCACTGGTTTTGTTCATTGTTTTATGGTTGAAAGTTTTTCTACATTCATTTACTTGATCACTAAATTGAATGCATGCTAGAACTAAGGGAGATCTGGAAGGATAAACTTGGTTTGGATTGTTTCAACTTTAACTTATGACATAGAGGTAACAGTCTATGGTTTTAACTAAGATAGGAATATACTTAGTTAACATAAGCATTCTTGAAGGCCTAAGAACTTAATGACTTTGTAGCTGGAATCAATCATTGGAAAATAGGTTGTTAAGGTTGCAAAGATGACTCTAGGAATGGGAACTAACTTAGAGTTATAAGTGAGCTGAATGAACAAGAACTCAACCATTACAGTGCTAATAAAACAACTACAACAGCAGGAAGAGGAGAAGAACACCCCTGGCCTCCATTCCCCTGAGTGACTGTTTTCATTCTCCTGAGTGACATCTTGTTGACTGACAGTTTTTCTTTACAACAAATTTGGTAATTAGCTGTACTCGTGGGATCGACCTAGCTTCCACTATCTACAAAACTCATAATCCAAGCTAGTAATATATATCTTTTTTTTTTGGTGAACTCGGCAAGCACCATTACCCTGAAAGTGATTGATAAGAGTACTTCTACCCTTTACCACAGATTGATTAGTTCAGAAAAGATAACTAAAATAAAATTAAGGTGAACAAAATAACTTAACTTGGGTTGCCTCCCAAGCAGTGCATTGGTTTAAATTCTCATGCCAGACTTTTGAATATCCTCACTCCAATTCCTTGAGGTATAATACATCACTGTGCTGTAGGTCTGGTTTCTCCAAGGGATTGTACGGCTTTACCCTCTGGCCATTGACACAGAATGTGGTTCCCAGTTTCTAAGTTGGCTAGCTTAAGTGCTCCTTGGCTTAATACTTTTGAGATTACAAATGGCCCCGACCACCTGGATCTGAGCTTCCCTTGAAAAAGTTTCAATTTAGAGTTAATGATGTGAAAATATATGGTCCATTAAGTATTATACATAACTATGATGATCATTACATTTATTTGATCACATAGTGGAAGGATGGAATCATGTTTATGTAGGTATCAAAGATGATGGAAGATTAAAACTAAAATATGGTTTGGATCAAGGAAGAATATGCACGTCGACTTTGTGGCCGAGAGAAGGAAGTCAACTAAAGAGTCAACAGCAGTTCGTCGACCTTTCTGTCACCCAACGCCATAGCCGACGGCAGAACCCTAATTTCCGAATAATGGGATTTCAACAAATCTTCTTGAAGTTTTACAAGATATTCGACCTTCCACATGTCAAGTTTGACTCCAAGAAGGATTTCCTAGGTGGTGGACAAGAATTGGAATTTTTATTCAAGAGAAATTATATTTTATTATTTTTTCCTTTTTAGACTACGCTTTGTTTCCTATTTGTGTTGGGTTTTGAATTTTCCTTATTAAATTCGGCCCTCACACGTTTTTTCACTTATTTTTAGGATAATTTTAATGTTAAATAATTGTGACATGTGCAATTATTTAATTATTTCTTTATTTTTAAGTTTTAGGAAACTTCTAGTCCAAGAAATCCGAATAAGAGTTGTAATCGGATTTCACTTCCTCCTTAGCCGACTGATAAGAATCATGTAGCTTCACATTGGAGTCAACATCAAATGAAGGAGCAAAAGGTGTTCTTGTCAGTTGGTGGTCCAAGGTTGTTTCCGTTTAAGAATAGAAGAAAGTTTGCTGTGAGAACTTGGCCTTCTTTGGAAGAGTTATCACCAACACCTTCTAGGGGAAACATTGAGGTTGAAGAAGGACCGCTTAGTGAAGATCAAGGATTGGAAGAATCTAATGAATACTTTGCTAATCATTGGAGTGATTCAAGTGATGTCCAAGAGATTGATGCAAGTGAATTTGTTCCAAAGAGCAAGCATCTTGAAGAGATTGAAGATGCACATTCAAGTGTGTAGAAAACATCATTGGAGCTTGGAGTTTTGAACTAGAGGCGCGCGCCAATCAAAAGGAGAGAAATGAGCGGGAAGTATTTAATTTAAGTTATTTAAATTATTGTTGAATCCGTAAATAGATAATAAGTCTATTTACCTAGAGTTAAATAAAAGGTTTACCCTTAAGGTAACTTCCTATGGGGGGGGCGAATGGTCCTTAATTTCATTAAGGGTAGATTATTCTTTTATCATTAAAAGAAGTAAAGTTAATTACTCTGCTTGGTGGTTAAGTTTGGTTAGAGTTTGAGTCAAAATTGACTACGTCTTTCCTTTATGTGAATTGGATCGAGTAGTACAATGAAAGTAGAGTTTCTTTGGCCTAAAGTAAAGCCTAAATAGTAGGGTTTGTGTCTTGAAGAGCAAGAGAAGCTTGCCTATAAAAGGAGGCCGAATCGCCTTCAAAAATAATGTAGACATGAGTCGAAAACTTTGAGTTGTAACCTTTATGGTTTTAATGAAATATCATCAATGGATGGTTTTCTCACAATGAACGTTTCTCGTTATTTCGGAAGAGTAGAATGGTTAGTTCTTTCTTTCTTTCTTAGAGCCTAACGTGTGACTTGGTTCTTTGAGTTAAACCGTTTTATCATGTTGAGCATATTGCATGATTTAATTGTTTTAAAACTAATATTCTTACCATCTTTTGCTATAAAGGTTAGGTTGAGCATGTTAGATTGTTTGGTTTGTTCGAATTCTTTGTGTCCTAGGGTTGTAGGATTCCTTGTTGGTTTATCTATTTCATAGATGAGTTTGCATGGAAATAACATGATGAATAATCTGTTTTGTTTTGATTATTATCTTTGTTATGAATGTATACGGTCCAATATAGAGATATATTCGATAGTTTGTTTGTAGTTGAGCGAGTGATTTGCTCTTTACATGTGTTCGTCAATTATATGGGTGATTGTTCAATTTTATTGAAGGGTTTCATCTTTTTTAAGATTATGTTGTTCAATCCAAATGGTTATTTGCATTTTGTGTTATAATCTTTTGCTTGAGTTCATAAGGTATAGGAATTCTTTTCAACAGTATAGTTTATTTGTGAAAATTCCTCACTCTTTTAGAGTTTCACTTTTAAACATATTCTTAAGATCTTTCTTGTTGATGGTTCCATTAATGAAATTTGGTTCGTCTACGAGATTGCCATCATATTTTGGTATCAGAGCAAAGGTTAAGAAGATATCCGATTCTTTCTTGAGAATATGGTTAGAATCCCTAGCAATGTGCTAGAAATTGATGTCTATATCTTTTATTTGGACTAAGGTTCCTTTGGTTTCAAAAGAGTTTTGAGAAAAATAAATCAAACTAAGAGAAAATACCATTTCTTAAGTTCTTCTTTAATGAATATTTAGAGCAAAAACTACGTATTGCTTTAAGATGAATTTTTGAGTGTTTTTGGTTTCGAGAAATTAGTGAGTCTTGTTCAAGTTGTGCAAGCAATTGATGCAAGGAGGGCTTCACTCGAGATTTCCTTTGAAGTTGAGATTGGAGATTGGTTTATTCATGATCAAGTGATTTGGAACTTATGTGTATCATGATTAATTGATTTAGGGTTTGATACCAAAAGCAAAAGCGCATAGACTTACCTTTTTGAGAGAGATTATGTATACATGAGCAAGTGTGTGCGTGTGTATAGATCTAGGTTCTTTGAATTTATGATCTATGAATTTTAAAGGTGGAATATTCATGAAGGTATGCTAGTTAGAGTATGGAAATGTTGATCATTCCATCTTTACTTTAGTTCTTTATGAATTACAGATGATTAAAATCTAGGGTTTGTGATGTTTCAATCAATGAGACATCCATAATCACTATTAGGTTTTATTAGATTGAGTCTTATGTCGAATTAGTGTAGTTTCGACCTAATGTGCTATATGGAGTGTCTTCGTCGACTTTCTTGTCGAGTTACGCGACGACTTTGTGTGTTTCCGTCGACTTCCTTGTCGGGTTGTTCGTCGACTTTGTGTGGTTTGATTTTTAAAGCTGTCTAAAAGTTTTGAATTCAATATGTGTGCAAGGTAACTTGAAGAGATTAATGTATTCTTTGAACTTTTGGGTTAGTGATTAATTGTTTGAAGTCTTTTTCAAAAATAACGTGACCTTTCTTGTTAATGGTTCCATTAATGAAATTTGGTTCGTCTACGAGATTGCCATCACCAACCTAGACCCTTCCTTGACCTATAAATAGAGCTATTGGTCGTGGTTTTGAGAGAGAATATGATACGACTTTAATAATAATTAATTTTATTCATAAACTTGTGAGATCTTTCCTTGTTTGTCTTATACATGCGAGAATAGGTGCATTGCACAACTTTTCAAGTTGGAGCTTTGTTTTTGTGTGCCTTTGAACCTAAAAGGTTTGCTCTTTGGTGGAGCTAGTAGTTAACCATTTTGTTGGAGCCTTAGTCCGCTCGTTCTAGTCATAATCGTAAGACTAGGTTAGTTGAGATGTGGCCGATACGGTTGTTAACCCCAAACCTTACTTAGATAGTGTTGCAAGTACATCATAACCTTACTTTTTGGCCCTCTTAGTATTCTTGTGCTTTGCTCCATTAAGTTGCATCTATTCTCATTACACCGAGTATAAGATTCAAGGACCGTGCTTTCCTTCACAATGACCTTTGTTGTGTGATGTTCTCATAACAAACAATGTGATTTCATGGTTATTTTGGTCCAAAGTTTGAAGACACTTTGGTTGATCCTAGTGTCATAAGACAATTAGTCTTGGATTACAAAATAGAACTTGAGTTAAAATTACAATGACCTGAAGATTTGGAAGAAAAGACAGAATATGAAGAATGGCAACATGAGTTTGAGAAAGACATTCCTAATAGTGAAGAAGTTGTCTCACCTAAACGAGGTAGAGATGCCCATTTTTAATAGGATCCTCCTCATAAGGACATTATTTGCAAGACATTGATTCTACATCTCACCTAAACGAGGTAGAGATGCCCATTTTTCACATGATCCTCCTCCTAAGGACATTATTTGCAAGACATTGATTCTACATGAGAAAGCAATACATGATGATGTCTAATTTATGGCGGAAACCAAAAGCAATAAAGACATAGTTGTTGAGAATGTTCCTATCACTCTTGATATTTTCGCTATGATTATTTGCATGTCTTGTGATATTGAAGTCTATGCTGAAAAAGAAGACCCAACTATCATAAATCCATATGAAGAGATTGAACACATAGATTTTATGTTTGGTGATCCACTTTCACAAGAATTGTTGGATCCAAAGCCCTTATCAAAGTTTCTAAATGTTGATGATGAATGGCCATATGAGAAGCAAGAGAAGAAGCCTTTGAATAATTTGTTCCTTTTGAATTACAGGAAACACGATTCGAGGACGAATCATTTCGAAGAAAGGGCGAATGATGTGAAATTAGATGGTCCATTAAGTATTATACCTAACTATGATGATCATTATTGATCACATAGTGGAAGGATAGAATCATGTTTATGTAGGTATCAAAGATGATGGAAGATTAAGACCAAAATATGGTTCTGATCAAGCAAGAATATGCACGTCGACTTTGTGGCCAAGAGAAGGAAGTCAACAAAAGAGTCGACAGCAGTTTGTCGACCTTTTTATCACCCGACGCCAATGCCGACGGCAGAACCCTAATTTCCGAATAATGGGTTTTCAACAATTTTTCTTGAAGTTTTACAAGATTTTTGGCCTTCCACACATCAAATTTGACTCCAAGAAGGATTTCCAAGAGGGTGGATAAGAATTGGAATTTTTATTGAAGGGAAATTATATTTTATTATGTTTTTCTTTTTAGACTAGGCTTTGTTTACTATTTGTGTTGGATTTTGAATTTTCCTTATTAAATTCAACCCTCACACGTTTTTTCACTTATTTTTAGGATAATTATAATATTAAATAATTGTGACATGTGCAATTATTTAATTATTTCTTAAGTTTTAAGTTTTAGAAAACTTCTAGTCCAGGAAATCCGAATAAGAGTTTTAATCGGATTTCTCTTCCTCCTTGGCCGACCTAGACCCTTCCTTGGCCTATAAATAGAGCTCTTGGTCGTGGTTTTGAGAGAGAATATGTTATGACTTTAATAATAAATAATTTTATTTATAAACTTGTGACATCTATCTTTGTTTGTCTTATTCTTGCGAGAATAGGTGCATTGCACAACTTTTGAAGTTGGAGCTTTATTTTAGCATGCCTTTGAACCTAAAAGGTTTGTTCTTAGGTAGATCTAGGAGTGAACCCTTTTTTTGGAGCCTTAGCTCGCTCGTTCTAGTCATAATCGTAAGGCTAGGGTTAGTTGAGAGGTGGCCGATAGGGTTGTAAACCCCAAGCCATTCCTTCTCTTCTTTCTTTCCATCCTTTTCTTTTATTTTCGTGTATTTCCATCCTTGGATTTCACAAAACCCTTGTTTTTGGTTTGTTGATTCATAAAATTCGGAAGGCAAGATCATCAAGTCCTGAACCGTTTCAAGCTTCCACGTATTCGGGTAAGAAAACCGTATCAATTGGCTTCAGAGCTGTGTTCTTGATTTTCTTGGTTGATTTTTGATTAATCTTTGGCTCATCTTTGGTTAATCTCCTCCTAATATACTGGTTTTTTCCTTGATCTCGTGCATGCTTCGTTTTTGTTGGTGTTGAATTTTTAGTTCGCCCGTGAAGTGAAAATACGGGAGCAATCTGTTTTAGCCGTTCTTTTGTTGTGTTTTGGCAGGAAAAAAAATTAATTAAGAGCTGCTTGTTTGGTTTAGTTTGTTTGGCCATAGAAAAAAAAAATTAGATTTGTTTGTTTGGTGAAAATTTTGAGGTGTGTGTTTGGTTTGTCTAAACGTGAGGGAAAACAACAAGCAAGTTGGACATTGAGCTGCTTGTTTGGTGTTTGAGTTGTTGATTTTGGCCACGGAAAGTGAAGAGGCGGTAGGTTGTTTGAGAAAAAAAATGCCGTACAAAAAAAAAAAAGAAGAGAAGT